GCCAATATGCATCCCCGGCCTTGATTGCACAAATGCTTAGTAAATCACGCCATGCTGCGGAATAAGTCTTTTGAATCTGAACTATCCCTCGGTAAAAAGGCATAGGTTGCTTTTCTGGGTCAGGGAGCGATTTTATTAAAGCACTAGCTTGCGTTGGATTGAAAGCAACATATTTAGGAGGGGCCTGGTCCCCCCTATTTCCCCGACCCGCATGCCCGAAAGGATCATCTATGGAACGGTGGGGGAAATAGGTGTGTACTAAATCACACGCGAGCCAGCCCCTAGCGGGCTTACTCGTTTCCTGTCCCATATCCCCCTATACAAAGCGTCCCAAGTATAGGTAAAGGAAAATGAAACAGAACGTCTACAATGCTCGACTGCCACTAGGAAGGGTGGGTCCCTCCCAGTGCGTCTTCCCAAAACGTAGACCAGTCACTGAATCCGTGTACCCTCGATGGTAACCACGGATTGGAGCGGGGTGAGAAGTGTGTGACCAATCACTTCTCTTTCAAGAGAAATAGGAGTGGATAGTGTAAATAGTACAGGAAGTAAAGTAAAAGTAAACAGTGAAAGTAGAGACAGACCCAGGAGTTTGAATGACTCCACACTTAAGACAACATTTAATACAACATTTCAATTGAAATACAGTGCATGCATCAACAGTAATCCCTTTCCTTTACTCTTGTGGCCACCAAGACCACCTCCCTCAATCTCGTAGTGTCCCCGCTCGGAGAACAACTTTCGTAAGTTTCACTACCAGCGGCCAAGGATAACGACTAACACCGGCCCGAAATCCATATGCCTCCCTCGTTACAGCAGTCCACTAAGTGTGGCCACCTCTATCCTCACTCCCGTAGTGCTCCCTATGGACCCACCCACAAGTCACACTACCCCGTGGTGATGGAGACAACAATGCCTGCCCGAATCCACACACCACAAATAAATTGGAATGCCACCAGCCTCAGCGCTCGAAGCTGGAGGGTACCATAACCTCTGCAAGCAGAGCAACGTACACAATGAGGCTAGCTAGAATATCAAAGTGACGTAACCGGGAAACCCCAGGAGGCAAGTCCCCTCCACAGAATCCCCCAACCCTTCTTTTTCCTTACTACTGTTAGCTAGACAGTACCTAAAAGAAGTAAACAGGAAAACAGGACCCCTTTGGAAAATCCCCACAGGTCCACCCCCCCTTTTTTCCCAACAGTCTGGGCCAAGTGACTCCTAAAAAGGGGTAAAAACAGGCAACAGAAGACCCCCAGGCAACCACCCACGGGTCCACCCCCCTTTATCCTAAAAGAGGGAAAGAACAAAACATATACCACTAGCACACCCAGGCAACAGATAGACTAAATGCAGGTAAATTAAGTATCATTAACAAAACAAAGACTCTGGGCAAGTTATTACCTGACTTTGATGTCCTCTCGGCAGCAGTCACAGACACTGGGATAAGTCAATCACAGGGGCAGGAGCATACCGGCTAGGTGCTGCAGCAATCTCTACCGTGTACTCAGAGGTGATCAGGCTCTTTTCCTTCCCCCAGGATTCAGCCCCCCCCAGCGTCTTCTTGGACAGCTGCCCAGACAGGACATAGCCCAGAGCCCCACGTTGGAACGCCAATTTGTCGTATATAATTTACTGCAAACCAATTAGTTTGAATGACTATCTGTTCCTGTCCAAATTAAAGATAATAAAGTTGCGTGCACGCAGAAGTAAATTCACACTGAGACACAAAGTTCAGGTTAATGAAAGAACTTCGGAGAAGTTTAATGGCTTCTGGCAGAAAATGGGTGCGCAGACCCTTTTAAAGGCATTATTACATCACTGAAGAATTCAAGATAACAGCAAATAGACACTATTAATTGGGTTAAATGTTAAGTGGCTATGTCAGTGTCCACCCATTAATATTATTAATTGGCTCAGAGATTTGAGTGACTAGTGAGGCACCCTCCCATCATGGGATGTCATTGCTCTTTAGCACGAGGCTTACTCGGTGGAAAGGGGGGGCTTGGGCATCATTTTACATAGTTAGTGATGTCAGTCTCGTGCTCTGGTCCAAGGTTCTTTTATGAATAGAACATTTCATTTTGTCACTGTTCTCCTGGCCTTGGATTATACTATGTTGCAAGTCAACGGAGATCCGCTAACTCCGGGGCTAGTTATGTCCTTAGAGAGAGAAAATACAATCTCCTATTCATTATACTGAATACTGTCAGGAAATTCTGTCATGTAAGGTGAACAAAATGGAGTTAGTACAATAATTCAATACAGGTTCTAATAAAGATTTTAATAATTCTACATCACTGACATGGAGTTCGGTTACATTTTGGAGAGTGCGGCTCTCTCATACACTCAACGCACTACGGTGTCATCCAGTTTTCATCACACAGGCTTGTACCTGCACAGGGCAACGATGAATGCATAGAGGGGTGTCCCTCCTGCATTCCATTCAATAAGGTGGTCCGTATCTCAAACCATTTTTTACCGCTGAGACTTCAGGCCTGGTACAGGGGTATAGCACCTCACCGGTATGCAAGGGAGATGATGCTTCATACCAACTGGACAAGGGGAGAGAATCCCTCCACTTGATCGAACGACCGTGATACTGTACCCCACACGAGAAATACTCTCAGAGGTACTACTGGGGGAGATCCCCCGCTTGTTTACACACACACACTGAAGACTTTATGACAGTATAGGGGCTGTGTGAACTGGCCAGCTTGGGTTCAGCTCCCAGGATTGACCCATTTTGTCTGTGACCCTAGACCATTCCTTTAGATGTACTCCTGGAGATGGTACGGCTAATGGATGAGCCTCAGTACAGGAGCGCAGGTTTTGGTATAATCGGCGCTATATCAAGCATGCTATCGCACTCTGTTTAGGTTATGCATTGTGAACAAACTGCGCGGACAGTTTTTCCAGGCCACGGTATCAGGAGATCCTGAGACCTTCATAGAGCAAATGTCCACTGCCGTGCTCGGGTAACAAGACTAGGGAAGACCCTCAGCCCGGTCTGCAGTTACACCGTATACATGGATCACGTGGGAAGACCGGAGTCCTTGGTCGACTTGGGTTCCCTGGTCATTAACAATCTTGGGAAAAGATGACAAGACTGCCTCTACGCCTCTGAGAACATATTCTGGAGAACGTGATTCGGATTTGGAAGGCAACTCTATACTCTAAATTTCTCACGGGAACCATCTTGGTTTTGGGTTCTCCTTGAACTAACATCAAGGAGACCTACTTGGACTCTATGGAGGAACCCTGTGTGTCCCCGGCTCCTACACGGATGTCACTAGTCAAGACACAACCTACCGCTGGAGTTCCGCTCAGGATGGGTAGCAGGCTTGGATATGGCTGACGGCGTTCCCAAACTGGAAAACACCTGCTTTGGACGTTTGGAGCTAGATTCTTGTTTTTTTCGTTATATCTGTCACCTGTCGTGAGTGAAGAGACTTAAGTTATATCTGTCACCTGTCGTGAGTGAAGAGACTTAAGGTCTTGCATGCGTATTAGAGAACGCTATGAGCTTGCGGGACTCCAGGCTAAGAAGGAGGTATTCCTCTATAGGGATGCCTTGACTTTGGTTCTCAAATTCACATTCCTGGGTTCCTTGGCTTAGGGCCTACTGTTGGAAATACGTGCACGGATGGTCAGACGTACGGGGACCTAGGGTCTCACTATATTATACCCTAGCTTGCAGGTGGCATGCAGACCAGAAGCCACACGAATCTTGACAGGTCAGGCATGGAACAGGATCATACAAACGAGTAATCAGATTATTTCACTCTCTCACTACAGCACATGAGGACTCTTCTTTGTTATACAGGTCTCAATTACCATTGGATCTGGACATCTTATCGCCCTTCAACAATATATCTGGACGGAAACCTCAACACCTGGTTAAGTTTTTCTCCTTTTGGATATTCCCGGGATTCACAATCCCCAGATAGTTGGCCACCGTTTCACTACACAACTTCAGTTTGGGACCCTGATTGGACGTCCTTTGGGAGTTCCTTCCCTACCACAGTCGCAGGTTACACAGTCCATTTGGATTCGGGAATGACTTAGGATTTGCCGCACCCTTGCGTGCATAATAAATTCATTCTCGGATGAGACAAGTCACCGGTTAGGTCGTGGGGCAACGAAATGACCCTACTCTGTTTTGTTACGGAATTGGTGGTAGACTTCGACACATTACTTGAGGTTGGAGATATGTCTACAGGGCCACGTCACCTGGTGACCATGGCACAACCAAAGGATCCATTTTCCACATCAAGAGTCAAGACCTGGGGGGCGGAGCCAACCACGGAACAAGATGGCCGCAAGCTAAACAAGCTCCTCTCCTGACGGTGTGAATCCGCGGGCATCGGGTGGCTAAACTAAAAATGGGACACCCACACCTCCGGTAAACAGCCTGGGGGAAAACCGGGAGCCCTCACTAAATATTTCCGCGACAATGCGGAACTCCAGCCCGGCGTGGTAGGCCCGAACATGGCGCCGGACTCACCTCACCACAACTCTCCACCTTTCAGCCCGGCAGACTCCGAAATGTCCGGCCTGCCTGGGGACACGGAAGTCAGAGATCTCCTCCGCAACATGCCATCCAAGCAAGACCTGGCGAATATGCTGGGTAAGTTGGAGATGTCCTTCCAAGGCAAACTAGATGCCATAGGAGCAGACATACGCCACATGGGTGATAGGATTGGGTCACTAGAAGATGACAGGGATGTCACCCACACGCAGGTACAATCCCTCCAAGAAACTGTGAGAGTCCACATAGCTCAGCTAACAGATATACAACGCTCACTAGATGATCTGGATAATAGGGGGAGAAGGAATAACCTGAGGGTAAGAGGTATCCCTGAAAATGACAAAGAAGATATCATAGCAATACTTACTGAGCTTTTCAATCTAATCCTTGACAGAGCTCCTGACTCAACAATAATATTTGACAGAGCCCACAGAGCCCTACGACCCAGGGGCCAGTCCACAGACAGATCCAGGGATGTAATATGCAGGCTGCATTATTACAGGTGCAAAGAAGATATCCTGGCAGCATTACGAAATTCCAACCAGCCGCTGCTGTTTCACAGTGACCCAATCAGTATATATCCAGACCTCTCCTGGCTCACACTACAAGCCAGACGCTCACTGAAATCCATCACGGACCAGCTGAGGGTGAGGAACATCAGATACAGGTGGGGATTTCCATTTGCTTTAAGCACCACGAGTAACGGCAACCAACACAGCATCCACACCATACAGGATGTCCCAGTATTCCAGAGGGCATTAGACCTCCCCATGACACACATCAGCGACTGGTATGGCCCGATGCCACCACATGGGATACCTCCAGCGCCCCAACGCCCACGCTGGCAGCAGGAGACAAGGAAAAGACACACAGAAGCCACGGACACCATGTTGCAAGGGGACACGAGACCACCTTCCACAAGACAGCAATAATCTACTCAACTACCCATAACAGCAGAAAAACCGCCAGCCAAGGATACCACAGCTACTCTCAGCTGACGGAGTTCCAATTTAAGAGAAAGGCCCACAAAGGACACGAGTCTCAGAGATAGGTGACTTTTTATCATGAGCACTACCAAAGGTGATAGACTCACAATGGGAAAGAAGCACTGACGAAGCTTTCACGAGATATTCTGGACTTACCATGGATCCAAACGGAGACAAAGCCAGTCGTTGCTACAGGCGCACTTCCTCCCACAGTACCGGGACTTTCTCCCTCCGAGGTACAGGTGGACGAGACGGGAGAACCATTTGCACACGCCAAAGACTCTCATAAGGGCGGGTAATATGTTCATCATTTAACTCAGTTTTACATATCCCCCTTCCATCCCTGGTTAATACAACTAAACGCAAATGTATATTTGTATTGCAGTGAGAGGCACATCACAATGCCCAATAGCCTCAATCAGCCAGCGGTGCAGACTATTGATAACTACCGCTATGTAAAAGAAACTGGTTAACCGTACCACATGACACCTGCTCCACCTGCCTAGTGGCCAACATAGACCTAGGCCACAGGGTTGAGGTAGATATACCCGAAGGTATCGGGAAATAACCTCCCAGGGATCATCATAATGCCATCCCCCATAGACCCCCTCCTCAAAGTACTTAATGCCCACTCAAGGGCTATCAAACGACGATATAGGCCCATGGCCATACAACTAGGCGGAGGGGAAGGGGATGCCAATAGATTATCTCACCTGAACTCCAAGGCTACACTAGAGGCCCAACATACCAGGCCCAGTACCAGGGGTCTTAAGCCCCAAATACACACCCGCCCATAAAGCTAAATGTACCACTTCAAGCGAAATTCACACCGGATAGGATAGCGACCAGCCATACCCCTCTTCTCGTCCACAAATAGACTTGCGGTAATTTATCCCTCCCCCCCAGGATAGTACACTTAAGAGTATAGGCGTATCCATACGCATGCCTATACCAGCTGTTAACTGAACTTAGGCCCTTCAGGCCTACACCAAGGTGACAGATAGGATCTCGGAGAGACAGACCATCTCGTCCGAGACAGTTACCATAGGTATTTACACACCTGACCCAGGTGATGGTTATAATTTAGGTTCATGATATTCTTTGATTGTTCATTGAATTATTTTTATTTGTCTTGTTTTGTTATATTATTACTTGTAAATCTCTAAATATTTCTGTACAGACAGGTCTGTGGCCAAGCGCTGGGTGGAGACACGACACCAACCCTAGATAACCCTAAGGTAATTGTAACTGGGTACCTCGCGCTTCCTGAGGACTCCAAGCACTGCAGCAGACACCACAACCACCGCAGACTCCGCAACCGCTGTAGCTTGACTGGAGTCTCGCCGTCTTCCTTCCACCCTGAATCAGCTTCTGTCCTCCAGGACCGTGTGGGAAAGACCTCTTCCTTCCACCCTGTATGAACCTCCAGCATCCAGGATTGTGTGGTCTCCAAGGAGAGCGTGTCAGGAACAAGCTCTTAAAAGAGCTAAGTGATTCAAGCTCAGGGGAGTATGCAGAGCATAGCAATCCCCAGTGTGGTTACAACAGCTCCCTCCAATAACGAGACAAGGCTACGTTTAGAGGGATCAAGAAGAACTGTCTAAACCTTTATTTCCCTTGGGACCAGCCCATAGGGTCACCACAATAACATCGTTGTGAAACCTCAATAAAATCACAAACAGTCAAACCATAGCAGGCAACACACAGTGACTTATCACAACACAATGGCACATTTTTAAAGGGGTGGGGGAGACAATATTTAACAGTAAATATCTCAACTGCCTGCAGAATTAGCAATATGCAAATCTACCCGAATATGCAAATGAACAAGTCTTGCAATTCAGGTAGTGCATATTGCTGTTGCTACCGGAGGGCACTAGACAAGCTCCATAGCCAAACCCACCTAGTTGGTAGCAAACCTCAGCAGTACAGGAGAGCAGGCAATACATTTCACAGTACACACACACACACACACACTATAAACAATTACATTACACACACCCTGCACCTATAATGGGTACAGGGTGACTAAAACATAAGATAAAAGCAGCCTACATAAATAGTCTGTCTGAAGGTAGACTAGGGGCTTTAAAGCCAAATACATGAAATAGTCATAGTCACAGGGGAGGAGGCTGGCAAGCAGGCCTCTCCAGGACCAAGTGGCGAAGGGCACTTCGTCACAGTAATAGATTGACAATGACCACCCTACGCATAATCGCTCTCAATGTGAAAGGGTTAAATTCCCCAGAAAAACGCTCCCTAGCCCTAAATGAGCTACACAGACTGCGAGCTGACGTGGCGTTTCTCCAGGAAACCCACTTTAAAAAAGACAAAGCCCGGGGGCGGGGCCAGCACGCAGACCGAGACAGACGCCATTTGCTGGAGCTCCTACAAACAAACCTGAAATCTGCCCGATATCATCGGAACACGAGCCCATCCAGCCTCCAAAAGCACAAAATCGGACTCTGCTGCCCGAGCTGCAAGCGTAGATGCCCTTCCTACAGCCGCAAAAAGAGCCTAAGCGGCGACGAAAAACTGAGGCCTATCACCCTCTCCAAATCCCCGGCCTCGTGTCACTCCTTGGCGGAGACCCTGCGGAACGGCCGAGGGCGTCCCCATCACAAACATCGCCCACCACACTCACCATGGGCCGTAAATTACAGAGACCCACCACAGGGTCAGATACCAGGGACGGGTGCTGCTCCAGAAGCCCAAACACACTCAGGCCGGAGACCAACCGGACACAGAACCGGAACCGGACCGCCACGAGATGGAGGTACCACAAAACCCACTGGTGGTAAGACCCGCACAAACGGACCCTATGGATGAATCAGCCCCAACAACTAGGGGAGACCTGAAGGTTCTATTAGCTGATATCCACAAGCTCCTGGCTGCAGATTTAGCTGTATTTACAACACAGCTACAGGCCGTAACAGAGAGAGTCAAGGCCACAGAGGGGGCTATAGCAGATACACAATCTGCCATGCAAACCATGCAGGACTCTATCCACCAATTACAAGGGCACCAGACTGCCCTGAACGCAAAACTCATAATACTAGAGGATAGACAACGCCGGGCAAACTTCAAAATAAGGGGTATCCCTACGGCAATATCCGCGGAGGAACTTCCCCACTACACCCGACGCCTCTTGACATCTATATTACCCCCCACGCTGGCCCGCAAAATCACAGTGGACAGTCTATATCGCATCCCCAATACCACCAACACTAATACCAACCTGAACCGGGATGTCATCCTGCGCTTCCACTCAGTACAAGACAAAATACATGTCATGTCAGCTGTGAAGGGCAAAACCCCTCTCTCATTTGAAAACGACACCTTGAACTTCTTCCAAGACCTCACTAAGGCAACGTTGCTATGGAGGAAAACCTATGCACCGGTAACATCCCAACTACGCACGGCAGGACTGCCATACAGATGGGGAACCGACAACTCTTTAACGGTCACCGCAGAAGGAACTACGCATGTCCTCCACACCATGGCCGACGCAGCCTCTTTTTTGGGCAAATTGGGACTACCCATTCCAACCGATAATCGTACGCTTCCTGAGAGTGCCAGAGACCCGGCCACCATCATCCCCTTTGTCCCACGCACCAGAGGGACACCACCACCCGTACAGTGACTGCCCACACCGACACCTATGGCTACACAATCTAGCCCACATTGGAAGGCTCTGGCCTCGACCCACCTGGAGAGGACATTGATACACGAGGGAAACCTTGCACTCGGACGCAATGCAGTTAATAGAATTTAACCTTTTTTATATTTTTATATTTTATATATATTTTTCCTTTCTCTCTATGCTTTCACACCCCTATCCTGACTACGAGCAAACCACACTCCAGCCAACACACTGGACACAACACCAGAGAGTCAATGGGGCCACATCCCTCCTCCCCCCCCCCGCAACCCCATTGGTTAGGGGTACCACACATATCAGCTACCGCTGAAACGGCCCATGCGCACAGGCCACACAGACAAACCACAACCCAAACTGGGAACCAACACCATTACATAAGCAGACACATGTTACCTACTCAACCTCCATGAATCACTCACACGACAATGTTTCTCTTTGTTTCAAGACTCTTATATATTTGTCTACAGAAAGTCTAACATGTTAACCTTGTATATATAATTGTTAAACGTTGAAGGAAAAAAAAAAATGTGCATACTGCTAGACATACCTAAGCTATATCGGACATGCATAATTTACAAATGTCTTTTGTCCTCTTGATATTTCTTATGCACATCTAAAATAAAGAATTAAAAAAAAAAAAAAGACAAAGCCCCCAGTCTGAGGAACGGTAGATATCCCACAAGTTACTTTGGCCACTTCGCTGAAAAAAAAAACAGGGGAGTGGCCATATTACTTTCCGCCCAGGTACTTTTTACACTTATAGACCAGAAAACAGACGACTCAGGGAGGCTACTGCTTGTAAAAGGGACCATGGGACAAAACAAAATCACTTTTGTAAACATGTACCTACCCAACACAGGCCAATGCAAGACCCTTAAAAAATGCCTACATTGGATATAGACCTTTGCAGAGGGCATACTCATTATGGGGGGTGACTGTAACCTGTCCCTAGACTCGGCTCTAGACACCACATCGGCCACCCCTGATAGATATGACCCAATTCGCAAGCGCTTCTTCTGCCTCCTGGACAGCTCCCAACTATATGAATGCTGGAAAATAAGCCACCCCAATAGGAAGGACTACTCCTACTATTCCCATGCAACTCGTACTTACTCCAGGTTAGACATGTTCTTTCTACCACATCGGTTATTGCATTTAGTGTTATCATGCTCCTATGGCCCTATCACATGGTCAGACCATGCGCCCCTGTCTCTTGCCGTTCATATACCCTCCCTACCCCTAAAATCTTACCAATGGAAATTAAATGAACTGCTACTAAATGACAAATTAGTGACTAAGAAAATACACACTTCCATTCAACAGTACTTCACAGAGAACTCCTCCCACCAGACCTCCCACCCAATGACATGGGAAGCACATAAGTGTGTGCTTCGGGGACAGCCCATAGCCATCAACTCTACACAGAAAAAAGGGAACGAGAGTAAAATTAAATCCCTCACAGAGGATATACGGGCTCTGGAGGCAGTCCACCACAGTAAAGACTCCTTCCAGACATATAAGGCGCTGCAACAAATATTAAATACACAGGTCCAACGCACACTACTACGCATCAAACACTCCTACTTCTACTCCGGAGGCAAATGCGGACGTCTCTTAGCCTCTGCGCTAAAACAAAGTAGGCAAACAACATTCATAGCAAAGGTTAAACACCCAGACAAGGGCATCTCACGCACCCTAACAGATATAATGCAAGCCTTTCACAAGTTCTATTCAGAGCTATACAACCTCAGGAGCTCCCCCCTGCTGGCAACGGACATTGAACGCTTCCTGACTCCCAGGGTGCATAAAAAAAATCCAGAGTGGAGCGCTGCAAAGCCTAGACTGTCCCTTGACGAGAGACAAATTCTTTGAGGTAGTGGGCTCTCAGCTTCTGCAGAAAAGCCCGGGCCCAGATGGTTACACTGCCAAATACTTTAAAACATTCAAAGACATACTAGCTTTCTAGACGCTTTTAACTTCCTCACCGACACCGCAGCTCTAGAGGCCCATATTACTTTATTGCCAAAGCCAGGAAAAGACCCCACCAATTGTGGCAGCTATCGCCCAATATCACTGATCAATGTGGACCTCAAAATTTTTACTAAAATACTAGCAAACCGGTTACGCCCCCTACTACCCAACCTTATACACACAGACCAAGCGGGCTTTGTCCCAGGACGTGAGGCTAAGCACAACACGAGAAAACTTTTAAACCTCATCCATCTGTCTCACTCCCACCGCCTACCCAGCCTCCTGCTCTCGGTCGACGCTGAAAAAGCATTCGACCGAGTGGACTGGTCTCTCCTTAGAGCCACATTGCAAGCTATGGGTTTTGGGCCAAATTGGGACAAATGGCTTGAGGCTGTATACTCCACCCCCACGGCCAAACTCAAAATTAACGGACAACTGTCAAACCCAGTGTACATAAGGAACGGCACGAGACAGGGGTGCCCCCTATCCCCTCTTCTCTTCATCCTTACGATGGAGCCATTCCTTCAGGGGATTAGGGACAACAAAGACATCACAGGCTTCCGGGTGGGACACCAGGAATACAAGATCTCAGCGTTCACTGACGATCTACTCTTTACGCTAACCAACACCAGCACATCCATGCAGCCACACTTAGGGGAGATAGCCACATATAATAAGATATCCAATTTCCAAGTTAACTTCGCCAAGTGCGAGATCCTGCCCTTGGAAATCACCCAACCACTGCAAACCACACTGAAGGAGAAATACCCCTTCTCGTTGGCTGAAGCGAACATCAAATACTTGGGTGTACACCTACCGCATAATCTCGCAGTCACTTATACTATCAACTTTCTCCCACTCCTCCAACAGATAGAAACAGATCTGGCAAAATGGCACAAGCCCCATTTTGGATGGCTGTGCCGCATCAACATTCTAAAAATGAATACGCTCCCCATCCCCATACAGTCCACATCCCCAAATCATTCTTCCTCAAAATCAGGCACCTCTTCACCAAATTTATATGGGCAAACAAACATCCCAGGATAGCTTTCGCTACACTCACAAAACCCAAAGGCCAAGGCGGCCTGGGGATGCCACACATAGAGCTCTACCACAAAGCAACCATTCTCACTAGGATATATGAACGGGCCAACCCATGCCTGCAGCTACAATGGGTGCAACTGGAGAAATCCTTTTTCACAACCCCGCTCCACGGGATCCCATGGCATAACTCTGGATCTACATTCCTATCTCCACACCAATCCTGTCACCCCACCATTACACCCACACTCCAAGTCTGGAAGCCCATGAGACAGGGGACCTCAATATCCCCCCACCCGTCCCCCCTCTATCCCCTGACAGGAAACTCAATGTTCCAACCCGGGCTGCCGAACTACTCCTTTGACTTCTTAAAACTACCCCAGAGGACGCCCTACCTGAGACTGCATTCAGTTTTAGAGGGCGGCTCAGTCAAACCGCTCGAATCCCTAATGGGACAAGAACAACCCACGACACTGCAGACTTTCAAATATGCGCAATTGACCCACTACATACGATCCACACGATCACTACTAGCTGGCTCCCGGACGTTCACAACATACGAAATATACTGCACATCCCAATCCCTCAAAAACAAACATCTATCGATATTCTATAAGATGCTCCAAGGGGAGCTTAAGGGACAAATGTCACAATACACCCCAACATGGAATAGGGAACTCTACACTAACATCACCCAGGGGGAATGGGGTACCATCAGCACCGCTATCCAAGAAAGCACATACAAGAGAATCTCGAGGTGGCACTACTCACCCACTAAATTACAATGTATCTTCCCACACATGCTAGATACATGCTGGAGATGCGGGTAAATGGGAGGGACAACAGCTCACATCTGGTGGCAATGCCCAACCATACAACCCTATTGGAAGAGAGTGAGGGAGATAATTAACACCGTCAGAGGGGGGAACATACCACTCAAGCCGGAGACAATGCTTTTCATATTATTTTCAGACCCCATCGCCAAACCACAGAGGGTCTTAACGACCCACCTGCTCATGGCGGCCAACCTCCTCATGGAAGGCCTCCAAGGCCCCATCGATGAGGGAATTGCTCCAGAAAGTAGAATCTATTCGAATAATGGAGGAACTGACAGCCTCTCTGAATGATAAATACACCCACTATGCTTCCACATGGGAACCTTGGTCCAAATACATTGGCAATACCACAACCTCATGAGAACTCGAATTGCTCAGGGCCGTCTCCAAGACCACCCAGTGGTAATTGATCTACTCCCCCTCCTCCCCAGACGCAGCAATTCGCAATCCACAGACCTGGCTAAGAAGTTGGGACCTACCAGTCCACGGTTATAGAGTTCGGCTCACTTGCTGATAACATGCTGTGCAATACAACATTCATAATGTATAGTAAGACGTGAACACAATGTCAGCGCTGGTACAGATCGCTCGTGATGTACAATGCTTTTTAAATGTACTTTACCACTGTACTAACAATATAAATGTGTGAAATCAAGCTCTTTAAACATTACAATGTCAGAATGTATAACTTGACATAATCACCTCCATGCCCCAAGCGTGAAGTTTAAGCCAGCGTATAGCGCTAAATATTTCAGTCCTGAAACACTTGGATTGTACGCATGTATCTGTTACAATTGTAGGATCATCATTTAAAAATTAACCTGTAATCACAAACAAAAAATGCGCTACTGTTGATGCCACTGTTATCCTATTTAACCCCTTAAGGACCAAACTTCTGAAATAAAAGGGAATCATGACATGTCACACATGTCATGTGTCCTTAAGGGGTTAATATGCACACGTACGCTGTTGTGGCATCTGTCGTTATTATTGTAATCACCTGCGCAACAAAAATAAAGAATTATAAAAAATAAAAAAAAGAGTCAAGACCTGGTGCCAGTTTCTTCTTGTGGCCCTAAGTCCGCAAATGACCTTGGCATTTTGTTTTAAATATGTTTATTGTCAGCAATATAAACACGGGTGTTGAACTTGGTATCATTCATGCATATAGTTGCCTACGCAGAGGCGTGCACATTGAAAGTGTATATAATGTGAGGCCGACATATTCCAGTTAACTCAGAGTAACACATAGTTGCCTGCGCAGAGGCGTATAAGTCAAAATAAACACGCAATGACAAATATTAGACATTTATAGGCCTTGCAGGGCTAGACATGCAAAAGGTGGTGAGCTTGCTTGGTATTGCGTTGTTAGGGCGTTGTTGTCAGGTATGTAGTGGCTATTTGGGGTGGCAGTTAGTATCATGTGTTCAGCTATCGGCTCATTAAATGGTGTTAGTGTGGTTCGTTAATAATACACTGTTTTCTTCTGAGATGCCTGTGTTTGCGTATTTATCCCTGTTGCCGTAAACTGCAGTGAAGGCCCATCTTGCGAAAATGAGTTGGTGTTTACGCGTTCTGATCTTTTGTCTGTAGCCCTGAGTTCTAGTGTGTCTCGTGGCTACCCGCTCGTGCATATTGGGGTTGTATTTGTTTTGTATGTTTCGTGTCCTTCCCCTCTGCTGGTGATGGTGAAACCTTCTGCGGTAAGTCTGTGTCACCTCTATTGCATGTTTCCATGGTTATGTCTATGTAGTGTTGCTTTATTCTGGAGCTCTGTGTGTCTGCCTCTATTGTTGCGTCTTTGTGGTTCCGGTTTGTGTGTCTGAGTCACTGTCTGTGTGTCTTGGTGTCGTCGCGTTGAGTTGGGTTCACCTGTGTGCGTGGATGTGGTGTTGTTCTGTGGGTTTTGGGGTAGATCAAAAAGGTCTGTGTTTGGGCTGTGGATGTGTGTGGCTCTCAGATCGTGTGGTTTCGCAACTCTCGTCTGGTATTATCTGACTGCAGTGGCCGTTTGTTCTATGTCTTGGCCGTCCGTGTGTTTGTAGTGGGTCTTGGTTCAGGTTGCGTAGTTTAAAGTCTTGGCACGCTGTCGCTCGTATGTGTTGTGTGTTTACTTGTGTATGTCCCCGACTGACCTGCTCATTGTCCCGCCTCCTGTTGTCCTTTGGGTGTGCGACTATATGTGTTGGCAAGTTGTGTGTTGTGTATGTGCATGTGGGTGTTGTGGGTTGGTGATGGTGGGTGATTCCGACCCCTGTCGCCGTCTCGGTTCGTCGGTCCCCAGCTTTTCATATTAGTGCTGTATTTATTTTGGCTTAATACTCTCCTCCTTCGTCTACTGCGTCGCCATGCGGTTACGGAAAGCGTCAATGGTGGTTAGTCTAAGCCAGTGAAACCAGCGTTTGGTGTAGCGATCTCTAAGGTTCGGGGTGGTTGCCTTCACGTCTTCGAATTTCCTAGTTGCTTCCACCTCTTCCACCCATCTTGCGATGGAGGGTGTGGTGGCCTGCTTCCAGTATATTGGGACCGTTGCTTTGGCTGCGTTTAATAGTCGTGGGATGACAGATTTACTGTATGTCGGTATAGACATCTCCGTGTGGTGTAGGAGGAACGTTGCTGGGGAACTCGGGAGCATTTCGTCCGTTACTTCATGTATTACCTCTCTGATCGTGTTCCAGAATGGTCGGAGTCGGGAGCACGTCCACCAGGTGTGTATGAATGTTCCTCTCTCTTTTCCACATCTCCAACAGGAGTCTGTGGCTTCCGGATTCCTGGCGTGGATCGCCGTCGGTGTCAGGTACCACCTGGTGTATATTTTGTATGAGTTTTCTTGCAGCCTTGCCGAGCTAGGTGTTTTTTGTATCAGGGTGATGTTTTTGTCCCAGGCTGCTTCTGTCATGGGTTCTTCCAGGTCTTCCTCCCAGTTTCTCATGCAAGGGGGTGCCAGTATATACCTTCCTGTAACCAGCATTGCGTATATCTGTGAAATGGCACGTGGGGTTTCGGTTTCTTGCGTACAGAGTAGTTCGAATTGTGTGGGGTCTCTCAGTAGTGATGGTTTTTGCGGGATAGACCGAGCATACCCTACTATTTGTGCTCTCGCCAGTGTGTGTGCAAAGGTGAGCGTTCGATCAGGAAAGAGGTCTGTGACGCCGCGGACTTCAAATGGGCGTTGGAGGACATCCATCATGCGGGGAGTCGTTGTGCGTCCCCTCGGGCCTGGCATGGGGCCGTGGTCTCCTGCTGGGAAGTCTGGGTTTCCTCTCAACGGCAGTAGCGGGCCTGGTTACGTCGTGAGGTATTGCTTCGTGCCTTCCCTGTGCCATACCTTCATGGTCGCCGCCACGAATGGGTTGGTAATATGTTTATGTTTGTAAGCGGCTCTGGGTATCCACGGTAGCGTGCGAAGGTCACAGTCCGTGATGTCGGATTCTAGCTGGGTCCATGGTTTCGTTCCGCTGGCAACCGACCAGCTGACTATTCTGGTGAGGTGCGCTGCCTGGTAGTACTTTTCGAAATCAGGGAGCGCCAGGCCTCCTCGGAGTTTAGGCAGTGACCTTGGCATTTTGCACCTACAGGAAAATGGCTAATAGGTCAGCTGGGCAGCTCATGGATCGGCTGCTAGGTAACAGGTCGCAACCCACGTACAATGGATCTACCAGTGGAGGGTGTCTTTTCCGTATTTTTGGGGGACTTGACAGCTGGCATCTTCATCGATCCGTCTAATGTCACTTCTCGTTGTTGGAAGGTCTATTTAGGATTGCTCTAGTATGTCCCGGAATAGGTACCAGCAAAACAAACAGAGTTGGATTTTTTGGCTGAGCGTTAAAACAGCAAATACGAAGCCTTCTGTCATGTTATAAAATTGTAGATTATGCTAACTTTAGTGTACCTATAATGTTAATTTTATTAATGACAGGAGGCGCGTATTTCCCACCCATTCTTATCCCTCCCTTGTTTATATTTATAGTTTGGGTTCATCAGGTACGTATGCAACTCTGCTTGTTTTCTCTGCTACCTGTCATTTGTTCTTATGTCTGTTTTCTCATAAGTAGGGTTGGGATCTATGCAGGTTACGGTAATTTTGATTGCTACATTGGTTCCTACATGTTGATTCAGAGTATATTTCATTGGCTAACCAACCTGTTCGATTCTGTTTTTTCTCTCGTTTCAGTTTACAGTCCATCAACACTATCTGGTTCGACGGTTCTTCACGGATGGTGGACATTGTCGTATTCATTATATCTAGGACTTTGTTTCTTCCCCGTTATGTTTTCTGCCTTTTGTTCTGTTTTGTCGCAGCTTGAAAAAGGAAATGAAGCATGGGGAGGGGAGTTTTATAGTACCTTACTTTTTTCTGATTGGTTGTTTTTTCTGTGCTGCTGTGGAGTTCTAGTAAAGAGAGACTTAAGCAAATACTCGCCTCCTGTCATTAATAAAATTAAGATTATAGGTACACTGAAGCTAGCATAATCTACAATTGTCTAACATGGACTCAGGAAATGCTTAAAACAACACTAAAGACCATATACAGTTGCAAGAAAAAGTATGTGAACCATTTGGAATGATATGGATTTCTGCACAAATGGGTCATAAAATGTGATCTGATCATCTAAGTCACAACAATAGACAATCACAGTCTGATTAAACTAATAACACACAAAGAATCAAATGTTGCCATGTTTTTATTGAACACACTATGTAAACATTCATAGTGCAGGTGGAAAAAGTATGTGAACCCCTAGACTAATGACATCTCCAAGAGCTAATTGGAGTGAGATGTCAGCCAACTGGAGTCCAATCAATGAGATCAGATTGGAGGTGTTGGTTACAGCTGCCCTGCCCTATAAAAAACACACACCAGTTCTGGGTTTGCTTTTCACAAGAAGCATTGCCTGATGTGAATGATGCCTTGCACAAAAGAGCTCTCAGAAGACCTACGATTAAGAATTGTTGACTTGCAGAAAGCTGGAAAGGGTTATAAAAGTATCTCCAAAAGCCTTGCTGTTCATCAGTCCATGGTAAGACAAATTGTCTATAAATGGTTCAGCACTGCTGCTACTCTCCCTAGGAGTGGCCGTCCTGTAAAGATGACTGCAAGAGCACAGCGCAGACTGCTCAATGAGGTGAAGAAGAATCCTAGAGTGACAGCTAAAGACTTACAAAAGTCACTGGCAAATGCTAACATCCCTGTTAGTGAATCTACAATACGTAAAACACTAAACAAGAATGGATTTCATGGGAGGATACCACAGAGGAAGCCACTGCTGTCCAAACAAAACATTGCTGCATGTTTACAGTTTGCACAAGAGCACCTGGATGTTTCACAGCAGTACTGGCAAAATATTCTGTGGACAGATGAAACCAAAGTTGAGTTGTTTGGAAGAAACACACAACACTATGTGTGGTGAAAAAAAGGCACAGCACACCAACATCAAAACCTCATCCCAACTGTGAAGTATGGTGGTGGGGGCATCATGGTTTGAGGCTGCTTTGCTGCGTCAGGGCCTGGACGGATTGCTATCATCAAAGGAAAAATGAATTCCCAAGTTTATCAAGACATTTTGCAGGAGAACTTAAGGCCATCTGTCTACCAGCTGAAGCTCAACAGAAGATGGGTGTTGCAACAGGACAATGACCCAAAGCATAGAAGTAAATCAACAACAGAATGGCTTAAACAGAAGAAAATACGCCTTCTGAAGTGGCCCAGTCAGAGTCCTGACCTTAACCCAACTGAGATGCTGTGGCATGACCTCAAGAAAGCAATTCACACCAGGCATCCCAAGAATATTGCTGAACTGAAACAGTTCTGTAAAGAGGAATGGTCAAGAATTACTCCTGACTGTTGTGCACGTCTGATCTGCAACTACAGGAAACATTTGGTTGAAGTTATTGCTGCCAAAGGAGGTTCAACCAGTTATTAAATCCAAGGGTTCACATACTTTTTCCACCTGCACTGTGAATGTTTACATGGTGTGTTCAATAAAAACATGGCAACATTTCATTCTTTGTGTGTTATTAGTTTAAGCAGACTGTGATTGTCTATTGTTGTGACTTAGATGACGATCAGATCACATTTCATGACCAATTTGTACAGAAATCCATATCATTCCAAATGGTTCACATACTTTTTCTTGCAACTGTATGTCTAGTTCTGGGAGCAGATAGCCCCCACCTGAGCTGTCTCTCCTAAATCAGTCTGTTCCTTCTCTTTCCAGGAAATTATTTGTTATATGTACATGACGTTCATCCCTATGTCTTATCTGTACTCCCTTCACCCTTTCACTCCCTTCCTACTACTGTTCTATGAGAATTTGCACGTAAGCACTTACTTTATAATGTATAAAAGCTCAACTGACAAAATAAAGGTCAGAGGCTTAGTCTGATAACCAACACGAGTCTGGTGTCTAAATCACACTCCTCCAAGAGCACTTAACAACAATTTGGGTTCCCCTGAATATAACAAAGATCAAATTGGATCTATACCAATTGGTGCCGTGACCCAGGGATCTGACGGTCGAAAGACTCGGACACTGGCTTACAGGTGGACGTCCCTCTGACCGTGAAATCAGCTGCAACAAGGGTAAGGAAAATGTTTTTTCTACCTATATCAATTTCGCTCTCAGATCCACGTCCTACTAGTCTGTCTGGTTAAGGGACGACTTAAAAAACGCTGATCCAAAGAACTGTTTTAAGGGTTATATTATATTCAGGTGGATGTTATTTCTTGTTAAAGGAATCTTGAGCTAGTGGAATATATCTGTGGGTTTCAAGTTATTTTTATTGTTTGCCTTGTCATTTGTTTTATAAATCGAGTTAGTATCCTCCAAGGCAGATCTCCTGATCTGTGTTTAGAATAACGAAGACAAGACTGTGAAAATTCCACTGCAGTGGTTGTTACGACACCCCTGGCACAAAGCAGTGAAACCGCCGTTTAGTAAAGCTTCCCCTTTTGCAATAATGCAAACTCCATTCGTATAGACTCCAACCGTACGAACTGCAATCAGGGGAAGGCGCCAATCTCCCGAACGGGACCTGTACGGGTGCTCCAACTCCCGAACGGTAAATCCACGGCCGTTAACAGCCAAATAAATTTATCCTCCAAGCGGCTTACGCTTCCGGCAATCAGTCTCTAATCGTGTGTAATAAATCCCCCCAATAACGAGACCAAGCTCCGCATTGAGGGTAAAACAAGAACTGGCTTTACTGTGGGCTACCTGCCTGTATTTATGCAGGTCTCCCACTTGGTGGACACTCCCCTAGGGGACCAAATGGGAGACTGTAATGGCAGACAGACATATGGCACTTCCAGACATACATGCACACAATATTCCCAGAATGCATCCTGGTTTCCTCCCGTCTGCCCTGGAGATAATCAAGAAGTAATTCAATTATCTCCAGGACAGAGGCAAATCGCCATTTTAAATAAAGCCTGAAAAACACATAAAAATAAATAATTACACAACTACCGAACATATTATATTCGTGTAACACATCCCCAGATAGCCTGGATCTGAGTGCATATTCTTAGCGAATAGCGCTCAGATCCCATACGCACAGTTCAATTGCCATGGAGTCAAAGTCTATTACAGTCTTTCGGTATGCGATTGACTCCATGGGGAGGCTATCTGGGTTAAGTCCATTCGTATAATCCAAACTCCCAAA